CATCTTTGATTATGGGTATTTCTATTTATCTTTATTTCTCTGCAACCTAGGACATGGCACAGAGAATGTACCCAATAAATGAAAAAAGCCTCATGGGTTATTTTTATTTATAATGGATTTGTATAGAACATTATATTTGTAGAGTGTCTCCAAGTGTGTTCTGCAATGTCTACAGCCCCTATTGCCAGAACTTTACTGACACATGAGCCAGCTTTGTGTATATGACATTTCCTCAATTTCTAAGCAATTGTTTCCAGGTATTATTTCATCATCTAAGGAACTACCCCTTCCCTCTGAAGTGCATGCAGTATACGGAAGGCTCTCAATCAATTAAATATTAATCAGATGTTAGAGCCTAAGGGTTGTGAAACTCTTTTGAACTGGCCAAATGACTTGGCTGTGCTGAATTTATTCTTCGTTATGCTTCTCAGCTTTCTCTGAGAGTGACAGGCTCAGAACAACTATACTGAAATATCAAAGAACTGCCCTGAGGCCAATTGCTTTGTCATTGCTCATTTCATCAAGACAAGCATCTAACACACAATAAATGACTGCAACAAATGTACTCTTTTATTCTCAAAAGCAATGTGTCAACTCTGTGAGCAGATACTACAAATGTTTTCTAAACTTGTTTAAAAAGCTTTCTGTTAGAAAAATAAAGATGGCAAAAATATATCATTAACTGACAAATAATGGTAGTTTTAGAGCTTGAAAGTAATCTTGGTCATCATGTACTTTAATTCTCTCTTTTATAAAGGATGAAGCTGGAATACAAATGTCACCTCATGCCACCTCATACCTAATGTCACAGAAATATTTGTGCACTAATCCCCAGTTCTTATATTCCCAACCTATTTGTGCTTTTGAAATTTGGGATAATGTAATTGAGTCCTTAAAAATAGGGCAGAAGACGAGATATGATAGACCATCATTAATTAATTTTACTCTTTAGAAATCGATTCAAGTTTCCTCTTCCCCTTAAGATGTAGAAAGCCTCAAGACAACAGTACTTCTTCCCTGCCCCAACAACAAAGAAAAGTCAAGTAATCCATGAAATCGTAATTTTTCTTGAGCTTTTCAGAGAAGTGAGATTGCCAGGCAACCAAGTGAAATAAATTCCAAGGAGTTACAAGTCTTTCTTGGGGGCGAAGGGACACACTGTTTCACCTTTGGCAGAGCATGACAGGAAGAGGATGCCACCATCGAGCAGGTAAGAGAAAAGCAACTAAGATTTTAATGAATTCATAAAGGCTGAAAGTGGTCTAAATGGCAGTGCAGAGTTACTCTGTCCAATATAATAGCTACTAGCCACATATGGCTATTTAAATTAAATTTAAAATGAATTAAAATTATATAAAATTAAAAATTAGTGGCTACTGTATTGAACAATATAGATATAGAACATTTCCATCACCCAGAAGTTCTAGGTCAGTGCTGGTTTAGACAGGCTGGGAGATCCACAGACACGAATGGCGTCCACATTCTCTCTCTAGTTCTTTCCCTGGGCCTCCACCAGTTGCTCATGAAAACCACCGGGGGCAAGACAGGGCACTGGACAGAGCCTCCTTCTGGTGGGAGGTAGGGGAACAGGCAGGCAGATGACACTTGGAGCCACTAAGAAACCAGCAAGAAAACTTACTTCCTTGGACCTGCCTTGAGGCTTTCTATATCTTAAGGGGAAGAGGAAGCTTACTTCAATTTCTAAAGAATAAAATTAATTAATGATGGTCTATTGTATCCATCTTTTATCCTATTTTTAAAGACTCAATTACATTACCTAAATTTCAAAAGCAATAATAGGTTGGGAATATAAGAACTGGGGATTAGTGCACAGATGTATTGAGGAAGGGCAGGAAAATCTTTCCCTCCCAGTTCTCAGAAAAAGATCCCTCCTTTTGAGGGATGGGTAGAAGCAAAAGAGATGGGCAGAAAGTCTCTTGGGCCCATGAATAAAGTAAGTAGAGTTCTGCTACCACTGGAGAATCAGCAGGAAACTCTCTAACCCACAGATTTAAGGTAGCATTTGGCTGTCAGTGTAAAGCTAGGGGTAGGAATGTCAAGAATGCCCCAGCTAAGCTCACAGGGTCAGCCTAAGCCTGAGGCTGGCCCAGGAAAACCAAGAACCTCCTCTGTTCCCACCAAACACTTAGCACTGGTTACAAAGCATCAACAGTCTACTGCTGGGGGTACTTTTCTGTGGAGCAAGTGTTCAGGGCTTGCTGAATACTGAGGGTAGAACTGGAACACTGAGAAGTACCCTCTACCACTCCTGGCAGCCTGCTATTGCAAAAATTGGGACTCTATGATGAACTGAAGGTGTCTAATACCTTAAACCCAGCATGACTGTTGTCTAGGCTGACTCACTTCCCTCCATCCAATCCTGCCCCAAATAACAGCCTAGCAATATGGTAAATTCAAATTCAACCATATAAATAACTACATTATATACAAATTGTCTAAACTTACACTATCTAAATTGACAGCCACTGGCCACAGGTGGCTATTGAACACTTAAAAAGAGGCTAGTGCAGCTGAGAAACTGAATTTTTCATTTTACTTAATTTTAATTGATTTATGTTTAAAAGTAAAAAATGATGTGCACATTTTTATCTTGATCATATGTTGAAATAATAATAATTATGTTTTGAATGTAATGGGTTAAGTAAACTGTGTTATTAAAATTAATTTCATCCTTTCAAAATGTTTCTTAATGTATCTACCAGAAAATTTAGTATTACATATATGATTAACATTCTATTTTTATTGGATAGTGCTGGTCTAAACACTCCAATTAAAAGGCAGAGATTTTCAGATTAGAAAAATAAGCAAGACTCAACTCTATGCTGTCTACAGGAAACCCATTTACATGTAAAGATATTAGCAGGCTGAAAGTAAAAGAATGGACCCAGTGTGACATGCTGGCAGTTAACAAAATAAATCTAAAACGGTTACATTAATATCAGAAAAAGGACTTCAACTCAAGGTATAATACTTGAAATAAAGAGGGACATTGCATATAATAAAAGGGTCAGTTCATCAAGAAGACATAGCAATCCTGAAAATGTTTGTACCTAACAATGTAACAAGAAAGCTTCAAAATATGTAAAGGATAAACTAAAAGAAGTGAAAGGAGAAATAGACAAATCCACAGTTATAGATGGAGACTTTGACACTCCTTGGTCAGTCATTACTAGAACAAGTAAAGAATATAGAAGGCTTAAACAATCAAATTTCATACCCAACTTGCTCACAGAATTCACAGCAAGGTAGACCACATTTGGGCTCATAAAACAAATCTTGACAATTTTCAAGTAATTGAAATTGTACGAAGTATGTTCTGTAATCACAACACCAGTCACTTAAAAATCAATAAAAAAAACCTTTGCAAAATTTCCAAATTTCTGGACATTCAACACACTTCAAGCCCTTTGTCAAAGAAAAATTCGCAAGGGAAAATAGAGGATATTTTGAATAGAACTTACTGCAAGTGCTAAAATATCAACCAGATATTCTAGAACTATCTTGGCATTAACTTATCAAATTTCTTCATGAGCAGTTATTTAAAGGGCTGAATCTTCTAGCTTTGTCTGATCAAGTATGGCCGAGTGCATGCTAATAATGTTGACTGAGCAGCAATAGTCATTACAGTTCTATATTCTATTTTGCTTTGTGCCTCAATCTTTTTTCCTGGCTTCCTCCTGCTACTTACTCAACTAAATTTAACAAATATTTATGGATCACTTATTAAGCATAGGCTTGGACTAAGTGTTTATGAAATTATGAAGATGAGTAAAGCAGAGCTTTTGATTTCAAGGAGTGTTCATGGTGTAGGCATTATATGCCTAGATCTGCTACCTGGATCTGGCTGGCAATGTGTCTTTTTCTAGGATTTGTTTAAGACAGTATTTTACTAGGTAAGTTCTTCCTTTAATTCAGCTGATTCCTCAGTTTGTTCATTATGTCTATGAACCTTGAAGGTCTTATTTACAGGACTCAGTACTGACCTTGGGACTCTGCCAATGGAGACTTTAATTATTTTTGACAGACATCTTAAAATATGTCCTCTAGCTTTGTTCTGAGTTCTTGCCTCTTACAGCTTCTCTCCCCTTTTATCTCAACAGATAGTATCTCTGTATTTTTCCTTAACAGTGGCCAGAACAATCATACATAGCTGGCATTTTAAAAATTGCAGCTGTTGGAAAACTTGCACCAAAGAACACGAGCAAAAAGCACTTCACTGAGTCATTAAATCGCTCTAGTAATAAACTCTACTGTCTAACAGATATCAATTTTTTGGAAGAAAAATTACCTCAATATATACAGTAGAGATACATCTTAATTTTGAGATTAGATATGAAAGTCAGAGAGTAAAGTGAAAATCACACGTAGTTAAAACCACTTCTCAAAACTTCTTACTATCAGCATTAACTCCTTATATATACGGACCATTGAAGGTTAAAATGCCAGTAATTGTTTTTCTTGGCATTTTCCTTGGGCAGTAGAAGCCAAGGCTATTTTGAGGGTGAGGTGGGGAATAGCAACTGATAGAGATATCTTTTTCTCTCTCTTAGACAAAAATGCATAATTGGGTTTGAGCAAGCTAAATATGAGTATAAATTCATCATCCCCCAAACTAAATTGCTTGATATGGAATACATGTTCCAGAAGAAAATAGACACATCATGATCACGTTATTAAGTAATATAGCAGAAAATTACGTGGTCCAATCATGAATCTAAAATTGTCACTCAGTCTGAAAATAGACTATCTCATTGAGGTTTACTTATTTTGGTTTAAAACGGATTTTAACACAAGGTAAACAGTAAACATCATCAAACTGGCAAGAAGTATATTCTTAACATAATTCAGAACTTTGTACCTGTGTCACTTGGCCTCAAGGCAGGCGATCTTGCCATTCTGGGCTGACTCTCTCAATCAGAGCCCCATGAGAATACACCCAAATAAGGGACACAAAGGACAGTGTTACACATGATGCTTACTTGTTAACACAGTGATCGATCTGGATGGCTTGGACACGACATTTCCATTTACCACTACCAGAGTGATTATATAATAAAGGCCATGATAATTGGCCTTAAAGATAACAGGAGGCGGCAAAGTGCTGTTGAATTCCTCAAATTCGAAGAAATAATTTTTGGATTCACCGGTTATCTTCACAACATACACAGATGCCGGGCTGACGACATCTGAAGCTTCTAAGGAGACGACGATGTTGTTATCATCTTGGACGGTTACATGGAAAGTTGTAGTATCCTGTTTAAGAGAAGAAAAGGAGATAGAGGTCAGATTCAGATTATTGGCACTAAAGTTATACTGAGATAATTTTTTTAAAACCAATGTTTGTGATGAGAGAACCAGAAAGAGAGAGATGATCCCTCTTGTGACTAATGATCTCAGGGTTTTACTTTGAGGATTTTTCTCCACTGGAAGGCTGCTTCCAGTTGATGGATTGTGTCATGTAATAAACACAAAAAAAACATCATGTGAAGGAGCAAGTAATGAATAAAAGCCATCTTGACACTGAAGTTCCAAGGAAGTCCTTGGTTTCAGCTATGCCGGAGAAGTTACGTGGTCAGTTCTTTTTTTTTTTTTTTTTTTGAGACAGAGTCTCACTCTGTTGCCCTGGCTAGAGTGAGTGCTGTGGCATCATCCTAGCTCACAGCAACCCCACACTCCTGGGCTCAAGCGATCCTACTGCCTCAGCTTCCCGAGTAGCTGGGACTACAGGCATGCGCCATCATGCCTGGCTAATTTTTTCTATATATTTTTAGTTGTCTGATTAATTTCTTTCTATTTTTAGTAGAGACAGGGTCTCGCTCTTGCTCAGGCTGGTTTTGAACTCCTGAGCTCAAACAATCCGCCCGCCTCGGCCTCCCAGAGTGCTAGGATTACAGGCGTGAGCCAGCGTGCCCAGCCTGTGGTCAGTTCTTAAGATGGAAAAAGTCAGGCCTGTGATAATCCTCATCATTATCATAGCTGCATAGAGAAACCACAGCAGTGAAGAAAGGAGAAACCACAGCAGTGGAGGAGCTGTGGGCACCTCTGAGAATGTCAGCAGCTAGTGGACTGAAAATTTTGCTCCAAGTCTCCAAATGAGTGTTTATGAATAATATTTGAAAAATCGTTTGTGTGGTGGCTTGAATATTTCTTCCTGATTCTCTCCCAGACTCCATAGGCAGAATTAATCCTTCTCTCTGGTCTCAAACAGGACTCATGTACTTTATCCTGTTGCTTGTTTTTAATTTGTCTTCTGGGTATGCAGTGTCCTGGGCAAGTAAGTTATTTCACTGCTTTGAGCTTCAAATTTCTTTTGTATAAGAGCAGGAGAGAAAAATTGCTGAAACTTGTTAAGGATCTACAAGGATCCAGGTATTGGGCTAGGCACTCTGTAAATACAGTTATCTCATTTAATATTCAAAATGATCCCATAAAATAGGTTTTATAATTTTCAGCCCTATTTTATAGCTGAGAAAATCGAGGCTCAGGAAGATTAAGTCACTTGCCCATGGTCACAAGTACAAAAAATGAGCTCCATTATTGTTCCCAGGTCTGTTTGTTTTCCCCTCTTAACTTATTTTCCCAACTCTGAGTCTGTCACACAGCACATAAACTGATAAGTATATGTTAATTGATTAAAAGCCATTATTGATTTTGGGTTTTGTTATTATTATTTTAATTGACATAATAATTGTACATATTTATGGGGTATAGTGTGATATTTCAATACATATATACAATGTGCAACGATCAAATCAGGATAATTAGGGTATCCATCACTTCAAACATTTATCATTTCTTTGCATTGGAAACAGACAAAATCCACTCTTCTAGCTATTTGAAAATATACAATAAATTGCTGATAATTACAGTCACCCTATAGCTATAGAACACTAGGACTTATTCCTTCTACCTAGCTATACTTTTTTATCCATTAACCAATCTTTGGCTGTCCTCCTCCTCCCCACCCTTTGCAACCTTTAGTAACCACTATTCTAATCTCTACTTCTATGAGATCAACTTTTTTAGCTTTCACATATTAGTGAGAACATACAGTATTTATTTTTCTATGCCTGGCTTATTTCACTTTACATAATGTCCTTCAGTTTCATCCATGTGATTGCAAATGACAGAATTTCCTTCTTTTTAAAGGCTGAATAGTATTCCAGTGTGTGTGTGTGTGTGTGTGTGTGTGTGTATCTCCTCACCTTTTCTCTATCCATTCATCCATTGATGGACACTTAGGTTGGTTCGGTATCATGGCTATTATGAGTAGTGCTGCAATAAACATGAGAGTGCAGATATCTCTTTGACATACTGATTTCATTTACTTTAGATACATACCCTCTAATGGGATTGCTGGATAATATGGTATTTATAGTTCCATTTTTAGTTTTTTGAGGAAATTCCATACCATTTTCCATCATGGCTGTACTGATTTACATTCCCACCAACAGTTCAACTTGTTGACTTTGGTACCTCACATATTGTCAGCAACCAAATAAAGCACACAATATACATCACTATCCTAAAAGAGGCTTTCTAGATCTAAAAATATACTGATTTTTTCTTATAATTCTGTTTTTTAGAAATCTAGTTTTGACAAGTCCTAGCACTTATAAATAATATCTGGCATTAACAGAAATTTAATTCTATCTTAATATTTAATAGACTAAATTGTATTCATGATATAATAACCATGCTAGACAATAAGTCCTCCAAGGTCAGGCACCGTATCTTACTTCTGTATCTCCAGCTCCAGGATCAGCGCCTGGCATATGCTAGCTGCTCTTGATGTGGGTAGTCCTTGGCAGATTTCTGTAATATAAGATAGTCATTATGAATTGACTTTTAAAATGCCCCTTTATCTACACTGTCTCTCATTCTCAGACACATGGGCAGGTTTCTAACATGGACTGGTGCACTGCTGGGACCAAACACAAAATGTGTGTGAACTATTCTATACTGGCAATGGTCCAGGTGGAACTGTGAGGCTAGCATAAAGTTCATAAGATCATTTCATTGTTTAGATGAGAAATATAAAACAGAAGAAAACAGAGAAAAGGTGCAGGGAAAGCATTTAATGTGTTGGCACATACAGAGAGCTCAGCAAACATCAGCTCTTCTCTTTCCCTTCCCCATTCTCCTTTTCCTTCTTTTGAAATACACTTCTGTAAATTCTGCTTCCGTTATGGCCATATAAGCTCCCACCTGGCTGTCCTTCCAGAAGATAATAACCATACACCCTGGACAAAATAAAACCAAAAAACAACTGACTGAAGACTGAAGCATGAGCAGAAGCAGAGAGATTCTGGAGGGCAATTGACACTTGGAAGAAGGTGCTGGCACAAAATGAGTTATTTATGTTTTTTCGATCAATCAATCCATCAATCATCTGTCTAACCTTATCGCAAGATGACAGAATCTGGACAACCACCACTGATGGAAAGTGAGTGGGGAATCCTGAGAAGAGGGAACTAAAGAAAGGGAGCCCTGAAGTCTGCTCGAAACTCAGGCTGACCCCTGAGCCATGCACGTGCAGGGCAGACTGCAAGAAGCCAAACCAGAGCTAAAAGAAATGTCTAAGGTTTAAGTTGCCAGCCACAAGAAAGTGTGTGCAGTTTGCAACCAACCAAGTGAATTTCTTGCTAAGATAAAAATATTGACTTTCATCAGAAAAACACATTAGTGTCCACAGTCACCGTAACATAATATTCACAATATTTAAGAAGTAATCCAAAACTAGTCAATATGTAAAGAATGAAGAAAATGTGACGAATTTTCAAGAAAAGATGATCAATAAAGACTGACTCTGAAATAATCTAGATGTTGGATGTAGCCAATAAGTACTTTAAATCAGACATTATAACTATGCTTAATATGGATAAAAACTGTGTTCATAATGAATGAAAAGGTAGAAAATCTCACCAGAAAAATAGAAACTTAAAAAAAAGGAAATTCTAGAACTGAATATAGTTTTGGATTGCTCAATCACACAAGCGTTTTTTTTTTCTTTTTTAAATTAAGAGAATCCTTGCAGTGTAGCCATGACACATTTGCCTTCGTCCTTAGTCCTTCAGTCCTAGACAATGTCCGAAAGAACACAGCCATGCAACCAAAAGGAATTTCAAAGTAACCAGAGCCCAAATAGAGTGCTGCCTCTACATCAAGACCTGGGGGAGACCTCTTGCCCCATGGGTGTCTGTCCCTCTGCACACATAGCTACAGTGAGCAGGACTGTCGGTGGTGATGATCAAGCTCACCTGAAGAGGAGGAGAGTGTTGGGGGCTGGGATCCAGCCATCAGGATAAGACCAGCACCAGATGTGCCCCACTTCTCTGCCTCCTGAAATCTCTTCTTCCCTGTTACTCAGTCCTAATGGCATGATCCATCAAGATGACTTTATTCTGGTACTGGATCTTTCTGCCTTGTCCCTGCTCCAGGAGAAGAAATCTGCCCCTACGTGGGCAAGAACTTAGAGCACTTCCCCTCAAAGTTCCCTTTAGAAGGATGAGATGCCCTGACCTAGATGAAGAGATGAGATTGGCTCTGCCCATACAACATTCTCTTCCCTTCGTACTCTTCCCACAGGAAAGTTAGAAGGGAAGGAAGAAAAGATCAAAGAAACAGGTGCCTCCAGGGGAGGTAAGGGAGGCTCTGTATGAAATAGGGAAGAGCAGGAACATACAAAAGGAAAAAGTAAGTATTTACATGGGAATTATTGAAATGAGGGCTGGCCAGCCAGTTGGCCAGCTGACTGCAGAATAATGGATGGGAAGACCCTTCCCCTGCTAGGATCTGAGGTGCTATCTAGTCTTTCTCTTCCTCAGTTAACCTCAGAGATTTGTAATCCATGTTGGAGTTTGAGTATCCCTCTAAAGGAAGAGTACTTGTTCTACACTCAAATTGATTCCCAGGGGCTTTTTCTGAAGGAGCAAAAGGGGCCTCGGGATAGGAGTGTCTGAAGGTTAACAGATACTGAAGGTGGCAACAGATACCTTCTTCCCCTTTCTCAATAGTATTTTTTGTACTCAATCCTCACCATCTCAGGCTTCACACATGGAATCCCTAGAATGGAGACAGTGGAGGTCTTCCATTCCTTACAAGAGCAGTTGAAGGTGGGAGAAGGGTATGCATTTAAAGAAAATTAAATTTAGTAACAAGCTTCTTTAACTTCCTTTTGCCTGTGTTTGTGGCCTGTGGTTGTGGCCTGTGCCTGCTGGCCCTTTCCTGCTAATAGAGGGAACAAAGTTTTC